GAGCTTTCATTGGTAGCATCCTTGAAATATGGACCTGCTCCCTGATGAGAAGTGTAACATCATCCAAAACAGCTAGATATGAGTCCAGTAGAACCTAACAAGATTTTTGGGGAGTAAGCTTTCAAGAGTCAAAGCTCTCTTCATCAGATCTGCTGCACGGAGCTTTGACTCTCAAAAGCTTAGACCCCGAAAATCTTATTGGTTTCTAAGGTGCTACTGGAGTTGAATCTAGCTGTTCTTGCATAGACCAACTCGTCTACCCTTTGAAACTCACCCAGAACAAGTTGACTTCTCACTCCCTGCTCGACACCATTATCAACCAAGAGCCCTTCAGTCTCATTACTGTCTCCAGGATCTCATTCATAATATCTAGTGTCTCACCTGATGTGGTTGGAAAAGAGAAAAGAAAGCTGGGTGCCATCAATGTAATGGTAACATCTCACTTGAGGTTCCCAGGTGGCCTCTCTCAGAGGTTTCATGTAGACCAGAGGTGTTGAACTCATTTGTTATGAGGGCCGGATCTGACATAAATGTCACTTTGTTGGGCCAGGCCATGTGTGCCATAAAATGTAACGCCAGGTACCAGAGATATAAACTTTATAAAGGATACAGGCAAAGCCAATTAACAATATATTTTTTTACTCAAAATACAAACAAAAGCAATTGACTCCTAGCAGTGAACCCTCAAAAGCCCCAATAAATGTATTTAATCATATGCAAGACTAGGTTCCCCCCCCCAGGGATACCATAAAGGGGAGCACCTTACATTTCCATACATACCAGTTGCTTGCAGGCTGGGTAAGAGCCCTGGATGGGCTGTTTCCAGCCCACGGGCCTTACGCTTGACACCCCTGATACATTCAAAAGCATGGCAGACAGAACAGAACCCTGTAGACCGATAGCACAAGTACTAGTATGTGTCTCCCAGCACCATCTCCAGATAGGTTATAACCAACTGAGCCCAGTGTCCCCAATACCTATCTTGGCTAACTAGTCCAGAAGAATTAATAAGGTTACTTTCCCCCATCCATAGGGGTAACTAAGGCCATATGTGTTCCAAAACCAGTCCTGAAGCTGGATTAAAATGGATCTAATCTGTCTCACAGAAGAAATACTGGAGCTGATTGGTGGAGAACCTTGCTCCCAGGAAATGACCGGTATCCTACCATTCCACCAAACAAAATCTGAAGCCTTCCCTAGCCTAAGGAGGCTTCATCCAACTTAAGTGGCTCTTCCGCCAGTGGACGTGCCACTTAAGTTGGAGGAAGGTTTCAGACTTGGCTCAGGGCAGTGGTAGGATACAAGTCAATAACTGTTACAGTCACTTAGGTCCAGGGACACTTGTTTCAAGAAAGATTTCATGACCAACTCCTCCTAAGTAGATGACATTTCCCTCTCATTCAATGAAACATGTACTGCTTCTAGATCCAGATGGCCAATTCTCTTTGGTTAAATGGCATGAAGGGCAAAAACTGAGTACAGATGGGGTAGCTGAAACTGGTATTTGTTTTTAATGCTACACCTGTCTGCTGCTTCTTTCTACTTGGAGTTGCAAAGAGCTTTATACTGAGTAATAAGAATTGTTTTCATAGTATTAATCATAATGTGTGTTTGGGCCTAACATACACTTGCTGATTCTTAGCTTTGTTGAAATAACAGGACTCTAAGAGAAAAGCACATCTGTGGGATTGTTTTCAAGGTGACTTAAGTGCATTTAGAGTTTAATTACTAAATATGAACGGCATAATGTTTTGAAGTTGTACAGGGACTGAAGCAGGGGGTGGCTACCCACGTGCCTGATTTACAGAAGCAGGTCCCCCGAATGGTGGTGGAAACTGCTTTCAAGTTGTTGCTGACTTATGGAGATTCTGTAGGCTTTTCAAAGCAAGAGACAAACAGAGGTGGTTTGCATACTGACCCTAGACTTCCTTGGTGGTTCCCATCCAAATAATAATCAGGGCTCTAACCCTGCTTAGCTTCTGCGATCTGACAAGACTGAGCCCCCCGGTGCCATCTAGGTCAGGGCTCCCAATGAATACTCCCAAATAAATGCACATAGGGTTACAACTTTTGATAAACTGAAGATGGGGGGGGGAAGGACCTGCAGAAGACTGGCAGAGCAACTCCTCCCCTGGGCTTTTTCACCATTCACTAGATCTTCTGGTCTGCTGCCTGGGCCAACCTGGGCCCATTGTGAAGAACCCCTAGCATAAACAGCAATTTAACAGATTCTGCTTAACTACATATTGGAACCGTACGTTTGGGCTAGTTAATGATCCAATCAGTAAGTTATTTATCAACGCTTTAGGGACTGTTTGCCGGCCATGTCGTTTTAAATGGTTTCATGGGGTGGAGTCTACCACATGGAGAAATGTTTGTGTGCAGAGGCTAAACCAGGGCTTTTTTTGTGTACTCATCAGAACCGAGTACCGTCACCTTTTGGGGGGACTCTCCCAAGTTCTGATCCCTGTGCCCCATCCTACTTATCCAGAGAAAGAGAGAGCAAACCCTCAGGAACATGTGGAGATGACCGGGGGGGGGGGACTAGCAGAAATCAGTGCAACCATATATATATATATATGAGTACTGGCACTTTTTTAAATTAAAAAAAGCTCTGGGCTAAACCAACTACATCCCCAACCACTGCAAGTGTCCAAAATGATTAGTTTGCAGTACAAGGATGAAAATCATCTGGTCAACTTTTGCACATGAATGGTTTACAGCTGGCTCCCAAATCAATTTAAAACTTCCTCCCTGTGGCTGTACCATTTAGACCTTCTCTAAGCTACCCATACATATATTTCAGTTGACATCAAGGAGCATCTGTTTTCTTGCAAAATACAAAGGAATGCAAAAAAAAAAAGAGTTTTGAGAGAAATCAGGGCATTCATTCACTGATCTTTCTGTCTGTATCGAATAATGACATCGTTTTCTGGCTGTAGCATTCCAAAACCATATCGTTCCTTGTCAAAATCCGGGATCTTTGTGTCAGGATCTTTCAGCTCCAAATCAAAATGGCTTAGGAGAAGGAAAACACACCTGAAATGATAAAACAATCAGGTCAGTGTCGAAGACATTAGCTCTGTATAATTTTTGCACCTTAATATAAATCAGGTATTTTTTTTACTATTAAATAGGTACAGAAGACACAAAGAACTGTGAATGAGACTGTAGACCTAGAATGCTGATTGGGGCCAAGGCCCTGATCCAGCTCCATTACTTGTGATGTGCAGCTGGATCCAATGCATGTTTATTCATGAGCAAGTCTGCTTATGCTGTGGGATTTGCTGTCATGTAATTATGGATAGGATTGCAGGCTAAAACACATTGAAAACAACGATTGATTGGAACTAGCATCTTTTTAATGTACATCTGACTGCAGCCTCGGTCTGCTGTTTACCTGTATGCTGAAATTCTCCACACTGATTGGCAGGATGATACAGATGACCCTCCCAGCATATGGTTGCTTACCGGATGAAATAGGTTCCTCACTACCTGGTAAATATTTGCCCAGATATTACAGATAATACTGTAATCCCAACTGGTATCCAATCCCTTGGTAAGAGGGCTGCCTATATTGTCCTGAGAAGAATGGTCATGAGAAGGATCTCAACATACTTGTGAGCATACAACTTACTGCATACAACGATGAACTTGTGAGCATACAACTATGAGCATACAACTTACTGCATACAACGATGCATTAAAAATAAAGAGGTGGCAGATACCCACACTGGCCCAAAGCAAAAGCCAAGAACAAAAGGCCACATCACACCTTTAATTGGGGCCAACCAGTATCCCAAACAACAGCATGCAAGCCTTTGAGTTCTCCAGAACTCTTCATCAGGCTGGATGTTAAAAAAAATAGTAAGCGGAGGACAGAAAAAGGTCTTTATCTTAAGATCTTGGGCTTTTCTGCATCCTCATTTTCCTTGCTTATGAGTTCTTGTTGCTTTGGGGCTTTTTTTTCTGTTCTGCATGTGTTTTGCTTGCTCTAGCAGTTGATTCAATATTACACCAATTTATGTCCAGGATAAAAACCTGCAGTTTAAATCTGCAGGGAGAGATGCCAAACATAAACCAATGCAACATCGAAGTGACCACTAGAGGGAGCAAAACACATACAGAACACGGAAAAAACACAAAGCAATGGAAACTCACAAGCGAGGAAAATGAGAATGAGGAAAAGACCCTTGGCTTGTCAGGACCCAGTGTTAACTGCTGAGCAGTATGCAGATTTGATATGGTGTTGGTGTCAGGATGCCTTCTGGGAAGAAGCAGCAAAAAAAAAAAAAAAAAGAAGGGAAGCATTCAACTGAAAATACAAAATCCTGAAGCTGATCAAATGTCTCTTGAACACAAGACAAGTCACACGGATGCTTTAGAAGGCTGCGAACAGAGGACAAACATGGTAGTAAGTGTATTAACAATGCTTTAGGTGGTATGAACATCCAGCCTGATGAACAGTTCTGGAGAACTTGAAAGCTTGCCCTCTGTTTTGTGTCATTTCAGTTGGCCCTAATATAATGGCACTTTTCACATTACCATTCAAAACCATTTGTTATTTGTTGTTGGCCCAGTTTTGAATAAAGTGTTACAGGGACAGGGGTTTCATACAGTGAATTGCCTTCTGTTAATGAGCCATCTCTGAAGCACTGTGATCATTTCAAACAGTGCTGCTTTTCTTTTCCCGCCTTTTTCTTCACTGTGTGATCTTCCTCGGACTTTTTTCAAGTTCTTAAGTGAGCACTATAAAGCTAGGCACCATTGAGATGCGTTGACTCAATGGTGTCAGTGGAATCAAGACATCTCAATGATGCCACATTGGTTTAGCACTATAACGTTCAACTTAGAGTACTAAAAAAAAGTCCAAGGAAGATCACACGGTGAAAAAGGGCGGCCAGCGGTGGTGGGGAAGCAACATTGTAGAAAGTGCTATGGACATTTTAAACAGCACACCACAGTGATTCAAAAGCGCAACAAAGGGGTTGAAAACAGAAAAAAGCAGTTTCCCTCAAAAGCGGCTCAACCACACTTTGCTAACCCAACACAAGCGGGTTTTTATGAACATGTAAGTAAATTCTGCTAGCAGCCAGTTACTAAAACGGGTCTGTCTGAAATAACAGAAACAAATTCATTAGCAACCAGTTACTAGCATGGAATACAAAGGCAGTTTGAAAAGGGCCAATGTGTTATGTGGATTTGGTTTCTGGACATTAAAAAGAGGCTCAGAGTGCTATGAACCTGCTTTGTAGTATGTGTAGAATGTAGCATATCAACAAATCCAGTGCTGAGAAATACAACAGCCACTGGCTGTTGGCACTCTGTTACTCCTGGCTGCCACCTCCTAATCTTATTATTCCCTTCTGTTAGGAAACGAGGCATCCTGCAGCTAATTACCGTAGACAGACCATTTTCCTGTCACGCTATCAGCTGTGAGATGCTTTCATTCCCTGCTCCTGCAGAAAGTGGTAGAGAAGGAACAGGTTAACAAGCAATGGAAGAAAAACACAGCTGTGGACTTTTCCTGTATGTCTTATACCTAGCCCAAAAGGATATATTGTCACAGTGGCAGACACTATTTAGTAATGGTCATCTGTACAGGCATGGTACCTAGTTCAAGCCTGTATTTCACTGCAGATCTTCTAAACACTGATTGAATTCTACATAAATTAACTTATGTCCATAATAACAACAATCTCCCCACTGAGTCCATCCATCCAGGCTAAGAATCGTCTTCCTAGATCACACCAAGGTCTGCTTGACCCAGCATCCTGCCTCCCACAAGGGCCAGTTTTAAGCCACAATGGTCAGTTTAAGTTCAAGGGATGAGGAGGGAATAGTCCTTGTTGGTTCTTATCATTGAATTCTGGATTGACAATTCATTCAGTTATCACGGCTAACAGCCGCTGAAAGACCCAGACCCATGATTTGGTCCAGGACACAAAAGTGGCAGAGCATCTGCTTTGCATGCTGAAGGTCCCTCCCAGATTCAATCCCCACATACTTTGACCTAAGACCCTGGAGCAGACACAAAGCTAACCTTGATAGACAGATGGTTCAGCA